TTACCTTCGCGAAAATGGTATCGCCCAGGCTATTCTTTTGCATTAACGATTTTGCAATGTCTGGCTGCTTTTTGCAAAGCGTGGCTGACCTCGCCTCGCTGCCGGTCTGCAGCAGGATGCAATTGCTGTAGCTTGCTAAAGCTGTCTGCACATATACAGCTAACATTTTCAATTTTATTCTCTTATTCTACCTTAAATAAAATAGATTATAAGTATTATTTATTAATAAATATTTTTATATTACCTTGATATATTTTTTAAAATATTATTTACATAAGTTATTTAAATATGTTCATTAATTTATTCAAAAACTAGAATATATTTTCTTAAGGTCACTGAGATCCGAAACCACACGATCGGCAAACCTCGGAACAGCACTTACGTACTTGTTATTATTTTCTTCCCCATCTCGTGACAACGCGGATTGTAGCAATTTATATTTGGTCGAACTAAAATTGCTCGTAAGTCCAAGTTAATGTAAATTATCTCCCAATTTACCCTTTATTCATAAATAAATACTTTCTCCATCATGTCGACTGCAAACAGCATTACTGGAAGAAGAGATATTCCGAAAACGCGTACAGTGCGATTAAATGACCCATCAGAGATGCCAAACGATTATGGCACCACGCCTGGTGGGACCTTGTTTGCCACAACACCAGGAGGTAAGGCCTTGTTGGAAGCAGATTTATCTAGTTTTTACTTTAAACTTTTAAGTTATTGTATCGTTAATATATAAACTATAGATATACATTTTCTTTTCTTTTAAGTAGTCTGTGCATGCTCTCAATTTTTTAATGATGCAATACATCGTTTCTCGTATTTCAGAATTTTCCACAGAACTAAATTCAGCATGGGTAAATAAAATTGGTTGTAAACAAAAACCACGTGATTAGGTGTTTTTGGTGTGTGACGTTTGTGCATTGTTTCTGTGTTTGTATTCAGATTCAAACGATTGTGAATGTAATAATACACTAGAATGTGGGTCTTCAACAAGGAATTGTAACTGGTGTCTGATGTGCGAGGCATAGGCTAGCCATCATAAAAATAGAATAAGTAGGCTACCTATGCCTAGATGCCCTTTCTATGTAATAAACATGAAATAGTGCGCTCTTTATTTATGATATGTTTTTAAATGCTATGGATTTACACTGACGTCGGTCAGTATAGCTTTGTTAAAAAAATATATATGGCCTGTGTTGACATTTTAGTGACGAATTCACTTCATCTTATCATATCTTTTATAAACATTTTTATGATGCGTAAGGTATTACAACATAGGTGTGAGAAAGTGGATTCTCGTGCGTGAGACTCGTGCATAATGTGCAGGGGAGGATTTAAAGGGGGCTGGGCTGGGCCGGCTGCAGCCCCCTCCCCCACTTTTAGAAAGTTAAAAAAGAAAACGAAAATAATTGATCACCCAAAATGCCTCAGAGGTTATTTTCAGACGTCTAGAAAACAAACAATTTGCGAGGGCATGCCTCCGGACCCCCCAGGGTAGTGATGTCTCAATTTTCCCCACTTTCGGACATCTCGGGATCCGATCTGATCTCTGATACGTGAGGGTTGGCAGTTGTACAGGTCCGTTTGAGGGCGGTTTTATTTCCAGAGATGTAGGCCTACAGATATTGGTATTCTAGTTACAATACATCATCAAAAGAGGCTGCACTAAAAGTTTCAAATAGAATTACTAACAAAATACTGTTTTCCATTGTTGGCACTATTGTTAACAAAATACAACTCAAGCACTTCATGCTTTTGATGTAGTTTATCCGTTTTAACATATGTACGAAGTAAAGTATCTTTAGCGGTGTCCTTGTTTTATTATTTTCATTTTATAAATTGTGAAAATTATAGAATAAAAGGTACTCCAACAAGGAAGTTTTGTAGTGTGGGCAGTTGTCGCTTTAAGATTTTATGATGGTTAATCAAGCATTTGTAATTGTAAGATCTCCGTAGCTAATACCTTTTAATAGATCATGACACACCAAAAGTCTACAAAAATTGGTTGGGACTGTATTTAATTGCAAGTTCCATATGTGCCAATATGTATGTGCGTGTATGCATGTATATTTCTGTATATACTTGTATAAGCCAACACGCTTGATTTTAATATGATAAATTTGTAATTTTTAACAAAAACATATGGTTTACGGTGTATCTTTTTTGGTGTATAATTTAAAATATTTGTAATAATAATCTTTTTTTTATGGTAAATTTGATTTGATTAAATTGCTATTTGTTATTTTTTGCATTAAAATGTGATCACTTCATCTTATATTATTGTTCTCTAGGAACACGCATCATTTATGAAAGAAACTTCTTGATGCAAATGCGTAATTCACCATTAGCTCAAACACCACCAAAGAATCTACCATTAATTGAAGGGGTGACAACTACTGGAAATACGGAAGACGGGTGTAAACAAAAATCCTCTAAACCACAACCGCCAAAGGAGGTTGTCAGTGAGTATAATATCAATTTTTGGTAGTGCTAAATTTCACACACAACTACCTGTAGGGATTCTGGCAGGGAGCGGAGGAGATTGTACATTGCGTATACTGGATTCTGCATCCAGTCTCTAGAGCAGTTCTTAAGCATAATGTGTGCTATGTAAACACTATTAATTAAATGAATCAATTTTTCATTAAGTTTTCCTTAAGACAATATGAAACTCGCTGTGGAATGTAAGCAAAAGTTTGTTTGAGAGTTCAAATTAGCAGATACATTTCATGGAAACAAATCAAATAATTTTGATGTAATGCTTCATTTTTTAGGTAATGATGAACCTCAATTTGAGATGGATATTTGAAGTAAGTGGCTTCGTAAAGCATGTCCCCATGCAACATAAGCATCACTGCAGACTGAAAATAGACTTGAAGCAGCATCATTGATTCAGCATCAGTGCAATAACAGTAGTCTGGGGAGAAAAGCCTAATGTGTCTCTCTGAACTCTAGGGAGTAAATCACTACTGGTAATAATTGGCAAATTTCGGCCAATTTAAAATATTAAAATATCACAGATACCACCACCACAACTCTCTTTACCTTGTTAGTCTTTAAACAACAGACTGAATAATTACATATTATTCCAGTGAGGGATTTTACTTACAAAGTAATGGACACTCTTAATCTATAAAAATGATTATTACATAATATTTTTTAGATATTTAATTAGGGGAAGGAATGTTCTGTTTACTACAATAAATAAGTAAATGACAGATGACACAAAATCTGTAAACAAATAATTTCAGGCAAGAATTTTAAATAATCCAACAATATGGAAACTATATTATTTTTTGTTAATTATAAAAACAATATATGTGTGTGATCTGAAATGTCAAGTTATTGCTTATAAAATCCTTCAGTTATCTTTCCTAAAATATTTTCCTAACTTGATGACTACAATTTATAACTTATGGCATCCTGAGTGTCTATTAAATATGCAAATATAATTTACCTATGATTTACATAATTAAAATTTGCATTGCACCTCTCTTCCTAGTGGTAATGACAAAAGTAGCTTTAAAATGTAAAAAAAAATATAGATCTCAACAGAACTGCTATACATCTTATAACACTTGTTCCATTAATTTGCTGCATATAAATTTAATGCACTATCCATGTAATAATGTGTGGTATGAACTGATGGGAAACTCACATGCTTCTCATATTTGTCAAAACTGCTTCACATGACCAAAGCTGAATTACAATTCTCCCTGCTTATAGCAATTATTCCATCAGTAATTTGACAATTATATATAAAGCCTTGTAATTTCTAAAGAGGTATTATACATATAGTATATGCTTGATCTTTACTAGCTCTGTTAATACTTCCATGCCTTATAAAACTGCAATATTTTTTTTTTCTTTTCATGTAATAAATCAAAATAGATTATAACTTATAATTACCAGTTTTCTGTTGATCTCTGATAAAATTATTTTCCCTGAATGTCAATACTGTCATTTAGGACAGTTTTCACTACAGAAGTTATGGTTACAAATTAATTTAACCATTCAGTAATGGAAATGTTGTAATTAATTCTAAACTATCTTTGAAATAAATATATTTTCTTTGATCTTATACTTGTAATGCATGTTGCTTCTAGAAAATTGTTTACACAGTTCAAAGGTAAAGTGCTCTAATCACAGTCAAAGTTTAAACCTATTTTTTGCTGTTGTATGAACTACGTTCACTATCTACATTCGAACACGGTAAAGCTATAGTGTATTAAGCATACACTTTCAGATACTATAAGCCAGTACATTATTGTAGAGGCAAAGGAACATGTTTTTAAAACCCAGGGTAACAAAAAATCTTCTATTGTATTTTAATGGTGCTACAAAAATACTCAATTTTCAGCTATCATACAATTTTTTAACCTATCTAATGTTTTTTATGGACAAATGTAGTGGTGGCATCAGGAGTTGCATGACAGGAAGCCAAGCTGTCTGACGACAGGTGGAATCAGTCTCACAAATTCCATTGGTGAACAGCAGGGTTGAGCTGTTATGGGAACCCCCATGGAGCCTAGAAAAGAACTAGGAAATTTTGGCCTTTTTTCGAAGGCATCGGACATGGCAAAGAGCCCAAAGAATTTTCAATTGTGACAGAAAGATCTTAGCCAATCTGTTGAGGCCCACGACCCCTGGTGCCACCACTGATTATATGTGTACAAAAAAACAATAGCAAAAGTGATTATTTTTTGGTATGGTCCATGAAGAATGGAAGATTAATTGCTGTACTGTACATGGTAATAAATACAACATGTTTAACCAGTTTCACAAATGGTAGATTTTTTTACTGAATTGAGCAAATTTTTAATTTTTAAATCTTAACAAATTATGTATTCATCTTTTTAATTATGCAAGTTTCTTAAGGTTTCTAGAGTTGACTTTACAACTTTCAGCCCCTTTTCCACATCTGAAAATAGTATTTATGCTCCATGTTGGTTCAGCCAAACACATGTATCCGTTACTGCTTTAAGCAAAGCATTTCCCCACGTGCTTTCCATAGCATTCTCTAGTACATAATTTGGGGTGTGCTCAAGAGACCATATAGAACTTAAATACCTCAGTAGATTAGATTTCTCAAGTATTACTGAATTTTAAGCCAGAAATATTAACTCCAGCTTACTATTTGAACAGTAATCACCTGAATTTTGCTATGCAAAATTTCAGATCTATGAATTAAAGGTTTTAATTTGTATATGTTTGAAATAAGATATACCTTAGCTGGTGTATGGAAAATATAATCTGGTTTTGAAGATCAAGAATTAATTCCTGACTAATGAACTTGTTATTTAATAATTAAATTATACACATCTCTTCAAGTCATGGTAATCAGGGCTTTTAAGTAAATGTAAAATCAGAATGTTTGTACTGTACTATGTCTTATTTCAAACTCTGGTAATACAATAGTTTATGAAGGAATAGGCAAGTTGGTTATAACAATAATGATGACAGAATGCAACAACATATTTTTAAGGTGTTACTTGTGCTTTGTTTGTCTTTGTTGTGTGCTGAAATGGTTACAGACAAACAAAAACGGAAAACTAAATGAAAAAGAATGATTTTAATAATGTACAAATTATGCTTTAATTCACCTTTATTATGGATGATTACTTTTAATGCTTTTAACATATTTTTTTATTATATATTTCTATTAACTTTTTCCTTGTTTTATAATGTCTGCATTATTTTGAGAATATTTTTTTTCAAAACCTTTGATGTCACTTCAGAACCAGACATTATTGGTTAAGTTCTGTAAGTTGAGTAATTTAATAGTGTGTTATTTTAAGCCAATCTTAAGAATTGATTGACTCATTACAATCTTAATGCTGTACAAAAATTGTAACTTCCTGCCAACATCTGTTGGAAGTGTTTCAGAAATTCTTTATATTCCATTAATCTCACTGCCAAAAATAATAATTTAGCTTTTTTTTCTGTTTATCTCTTTTATTATTTTTAAAAATTTTTTATGCCATTCTTTTTCAGGTTCTGTAATGGGCAAGACATCAATGCATATTCATGTGTTAAGAATAATAATGCTTAATGAGATAAATTATTTGGTTGTTTTGTTAAAAGCAGTAAGGAATTGTTAACTTTCGGCTTACATAAAAAGTGGAAAGTTATTTATCTTAATATTAATGATGTCAGATGGCTTTTGAACTCTACATGCTCTGGGATAACATGTGGGGGTAGAAACTGGTATGATTTATTCTTATACTGTATATGAATTATAACTAGGCCAAAAAAAAATGTTTGCCCCCCCCCCATCTGCCCCTAACTCACTGAAAAAATAGGGGCGGAAAAACAAAAAAACTTTTTCTTTACAAATTAAAAGTATGTGAGCGTATTTATCTATATTTTTTGCCACATGCCCTAAAGTCTGAAGTAGTTGTCTGATGTAAAATATTACCATTCTAGGCCTCTGTGTGTTATTTTTATTCCATCTGATGAGTATCTTTGGGAAAAAAAAAAAAAAAAAACTTTTTCCACCCACCCCTTTTTATCATTAAAAAAAGAAGGGCAAATAAACTATTTTTTTAGGCCATAGTATGTTCATTACTAAAATCCTGGATTAGATGAGCGCCCTCTAGTTTGAAATGAGTACATAATATGACATCTCCTTGCTCACATGAAATCATCTTTTCTTGCTCAGCAGACTGAAATATTGATGAGCAAAAAATAAAGTCTAGAACACTTTGAAATTGTTGTTTCTTCATTTTTTTAGCCCACTCTGAGAGAGAGGGCTTACATGATTATTCTGAGCGAATTTTGAAGTAATTTGTTTTTCTCCTTCATTTGTGACGCGATTAGGCCGATCTTGCAATAAAATGGAAGATAAGGCGTGGGGAATTTAAAGTATGAAGAGTTTTTGCGAAAATATTGTCGGGAAATATGTGAAAAGTATGTTTTTTTAATCATATTTCTTAACACTACGGTGGGTTTCCTATGAAAGCGTGTTCGTCATTGATCAGATTACAAATCGCCTGATTCCACATTGTGTTCACGGCCTGGAATTGTAAGGGTAGTGGCTATCGGCACTGCCGCAGTGCCAAAAAAAGCTGCTGTATTCTATCGGCACTGCCGCAGTGCCAAAAAGCTGCCGTTTTCTATCGGCACTGCGGCAGTGCCAAAAAGTTGCTGTTTTCTATCGGCACTGCCACACGGTGCGAAAAGCTGCTGTTAATTAATCGAATCGATGTTTTTGTCGATAGATGACATTGGTATAATTCATAATTTTATTTCACTCAAAACGTAATGAGACTGGTTAGGCAAAAAGGAACATGTCCCTGTACAAGACGCCTTCCAGAGAAAACAATGATAATGTTAATGGCAAAGGGGTAATTCCATGTCAAATCAACCAAAAAAAACCTCAATCTCTCGGATTTTGTTCAAATTTTTGTATGTTGTTGAGGCCCATGAGAAACGATCAGAAATGAAAATTTTTTCTCTAGGCCTCCTAATTAGCGAGATATCTGCTAACGAACTTTTGGCTAATTAGCGATACCTTGCGTGTTTAACCGACCATATCTCGAAAAGTATGGCACCTACAGAGCTGATTTTGGTGTCATTTTAAAGCTATTGAGTAGCTCTATAACTCTATTAATTAATGCTAAGTCCTCAATTCAAATATAAAAAAGTTATGACAGGTTGTAAAGTTCAAAGTTGAATAAAAAAAATATATATCTTTTTTTTTTTTGAAATTCATGTTAGAGATACCAAATGATGTAAAGAAGCTTCCCTATAAGTTTGGTGATGGGCACTCCAAAAGTTCCTGAACAGTGAGCAATTATATATATATATGACATGTCCTTTCGAAATAGCACTTTTTGTACATTAACAGAGTAATGTGTGCTAATATGTGTATACTGTAGTATAACCAAAAGTAACCCTTCATTTAGGAATTTAGGTTTTAAAGTTGAATTACAATGTAAAATAAAAAGTCTCAATAAATTAGTGATGGACACTTCCTTAGCAGCAAGCAATTATACATATTACTGCATGCAATTTCAAAAATTAGGACATTTTTCAATTACATTATATTGTATTATGGAATCATTATTTTAAGAAGCATATTAATGTTCAATAAACTGATCAGTACATACCATAAATCATGATCAGATACACCATCGATGAAAATTATAAGACAAATCATTTGTCAAAATAAAATCAATGTCAAAAAGATGTTTTGGCTCAGTTCTAAACCTTAATTTTTTTGGTAAATGCAGCATGGGCAGCCTTTGTTTCTTTTTTTGAGATTAAATATGTTCTTCCCCAGGTAACAAGCCCATAAGGGACACATATGGTGCCCATATGCAGATCTATATGGGTACCATATGTGCAATCCTTGAGGAAACCTCCGGATTCTGCACCCAAGTTCCATGTGGGACCCATATGATTTAGCCCACATAGCCCAGATATAACCCATTTGGGGCCCACATGGAACCCACATTAATTTGTATGTGGGTGGTATATGGGTTTCCCATATGGGACCTATATTTTCCCGATCCATATGGGTAACATATGGGCTATCCTTGAGGAAACCTCCGGATTCTGCACCCAAGATCCATGTGGGGCCCATCTGATTTATAAGAGATCCATGTGGGGCCCATCTGATTTAGCCCATAGCCCAGATATAACCCATTTGGGACCCATATGGAACCCACATGCATTTTTACACGGGTGGTATATGGGTTTCCCATATGGGACCTATATTCTCCCGACCCATATGGGTAACATATGGGCTATCCTTGAAGAAACCTCCAGATTCTGCACCCAAGCCCCATGTGGGGCCCATGTGGTTTAACCCATAGCCCAGGTATAACCCATTTGGGGCCCATATGGAACCTATATTTCCCAACCCATGGGTATGATATGGACTAG